AAGGGAATTTGAGACGATCCTAACTGTTTAAAGGTTTGATCGTTCAATTTGTGGACCTCTCGTTCATGGAACGAATCGAGAGGGGATTTTGGCTTTGGTCCTAACTGTTTAAAGGTTTGACCAAGATGGGAATTTGAGACGATCCTAACTGTTTAAAGGTTTGATCGTTCAATTTGTGGACCTCTCGTTCATGGAACGAATCGAGAGGGGATTTATGACCGAGTTATCCTTAAGAATGTAAAAATTCTCCAGGAACTTCTCGTCAAGAGTGGGAAACAGTTTAGACTCATATACCTATTGGAGTATCGAGGAGCAGTTTATACTCGTATACTCTTTGGAGTGTTGAGAAGCAGTTTATACTCGTATACTCTTTGGAGTTAGGAGAAAACAGTTTATACTCGTGTATCCCATGGAGTTAGGGGAAAACAGTTTATACTCGTGTATCCCATGGAGTAGTTTGGTCGTCTTTATTTGGCTTGTTTCGCCATTATGACGCCGGAGTCAATTAATGATTGGATCTTATTTTTGAGTCCAAAGCAAATATTGGTGGGATGAAGAATCCTTTTGTGGTATGCACAGTAGTTTGGATCTGTAATCATCTTAGCACCCTCCTGATCTTTAATAGGCGGTAGCTCGATTTTATCATTGGCGAGGAGGTATTCCAATATGGCTGGAGCTTCATCATCTTCAAAAGAATACTCCTTTTGGAACCTCGGATCGAGAGTCGCGTTCCCAGTGATTGCAGATGTCGTCGGACGGCTTTTCTCAGCTTTCTTTCTTTTAAGAAAGTGTTCAGCTTGTTCACCACGTAGTTTTAACTCTTTCCAAGTGGTGGATGGTACGACCCCCAGAGCTTCCAGGACATCGATGGAGAGGTTATTGTGGCATGTTTGTAGGATGAACTCCTCTGTAATAGGATCTCCGTAATTCATTGTTTTGCCACGGAAGCGCTTGACAAAATTGTCGACTGACTCTCTGTCTTTTTTGCTTCTCATCCAAAAGGGTTCCGATTGACACTTCGGTGTCATCATCGAAGAAGTTGCTGAGGAATAAACTTTCCATGTTATCCCAGCAATTGATGCTCCCAGGCTTGAGACGTCGGTACCAATCGAAGGCGGGCCCACGAAGGGTGCCAACGAATGACCGGACCATTAAAGCCTCGTTTCCAGAGATCATGCCCAAATGAGACTTGAAATAAATCAAGTGCTGAATAGGCGAGCTCTTCCCCTCAAACGGTGTGAAGTTAATCATGTTGAATTTTGCCGGGTACGGTATTGAATTCCATTCTCTTGGATAGGGACATGGAATACCCGTCTTCTTCATTTCTTGAGCCGTCATCAAAGCGTTGATTTTGTTTTCAAGATCTTTCATTTTCTCATCATCGTCTATGTCTTCATTTGAAGGACGTTGAGGAGAATGAGTTAGACCACCCCCTGTAAGAGGTGCCATTGAACCACCCCCAATATCGTTATTGGGAGGGTGTGTTAAACCACCCCAGCGTTATTGCTATTGGGAGGTGTATCAGCAAAGATGACTTCATCCACTTCTGGATCTTCTGAGTGTGGCGGCTGGATTCAGTTCTTTGACTGGACTCAGGAGGTTGAGGCCGTTGAGTTAGCAATTCTCTCATTTGTTGGATAGCTAACTCCATCTCTGCCTTCATCTCCGCTCTAATTTCTTTACGTTGCTTCGCTAGAGCTTCTTGAAGCATTTAAGCAAATTGATTAGAGGTGATCGTGAGTACTTCTCTGGTTTGTCCCGTGCTAGACATTGTATCATCAGAAGCGATTGCAGAACAAGTGTCCGAGAATTCATCCTCCGAGGACATTCCTTCTTGCATTCTCTTGTAATCTCTGCGTCTGATGGCTCCTAGTTGGAGTCGAGACATCCTTTGAGCAATTCTTTGATTGACTTTTCCTCTCGGGGAAAAGTCGGGATTTGAGTCACTTGAATGCTGCTTAGACTTTCTTTTATCAGTCACGTTGATGGTGACTTCAGGGAATTCATCATCTTTGGCAGCTGATTTTCTCTTGCGGAAATGTCTCGGCTTAGGCTTCGACATTTTCAGTAGAAAGTCCCTGGAACACAGAAACTTTCGGCGGAATGGCTTTAAAGTAGTTGCATTTGGACAACACTGCTTTGATAAGTTTTTCACATACACAATGACGATTCGTTTCTCGAACAGTCCTTTTATGTGATTTGTTTCCACCTTTAGTTTGATAGTATAACTCGTCAGCATGGTGACCAGAGCAACCTATCTTTTGTTTTTGTGTTTGAACCTTGTTAACATACCCAGGATGACTTGTCGTCGCCTCTGAGCGATCCAAGGTTATGTCAAGAGTCATACGTTTAGAACCACCCCCTTGTGGGTGTGGAGTCCTAACGGGCTCCGAATGCTGATTTTTTACAACTTCAGACTTTGGAATCCAAACTTGACAGAGTTTCGGTGGTTCTTTGGCCACCGTTTTCTTCATCCTTTCTCGTCTTTGTTGTAAGAGAGCACGGGCATGAGCAGCGTTTGCACGACATTTTTGTATGCGTTCTTTAAGGGTCGAACGAGTCCTTTTGACAATAGTCCATTCTTCCGTCGTGAATTTAGCAGAGACATAAGTGATTGATCGTTGAGACAACTGAACCACTCGATGCCTCCTCGACTCTAAGTCCGCATGATAACGAACTCCGTCGGGTTGCTCCAAGGCCTTAGCCATTTGGCGAGCGCGGCGTTGGCGTTGTCTCTGACGAGCTCTTTTCGTCAATGCCGGCGGGCTTTGATTTAATGACTCCTTAATTGAAGAAGAGTCATTATGAGCAGAGAGGTTGCGAGTAGAATTCTCAGCAACAATTAAGCGAGAGTCTTCATCTGTAGTGTTTGACAACTTCAACAAAGATGAAATCTTCCTGCATTTGCGAGGCGAGGAAGACTTTACAGATGAGGATGATAAATACTCCTCAAACTTCGCTTGGTCGAACTCATACTCGACCGTTGATTCAACCGGGATCTTGATGGTTGGCTGCGACACGACGGTCTCGACAGCGAGACCGTTGGCTCCCACTGTGGTCGCCAGCTTGTTTGCGTCAAAAGTTGACTTTGTCATGGAATTCATTATATCTTCGGTCGATTACAATAAATTCAAAAAAGAGATAGCCTTTTTATAAGACTCCTTTTACATAACAAAATAAAAATTACAACTCTTGAGAAACAAACGCAGGATCGTTGTTTGGATCGCTGCTTGCGTGGGATCTTTGCCTGTGCCGGGAGCGCTTTGACTCGTGGACCACCAAATCACAGATTCTGATTGAATCGTGAGGGGTTTAATGATTCTTCCTTCGTTTATTGAAGTGAGAATTTGAAACGATATCTTATCAAAGTAAGATAGTCGTTCTTCTTGAAATCAAGTCAAAGCCTGATTATCAAGGATTGGCCGTAAGATCAGCACCTCTGCTCTCTCTCGGGTTCCGAGACAGTAAACACTGTCTCGGGTTCCGAGACAGTAAAACTCTGTCTCGGAAATCGTTAACTGCCCGACAGTTTCTTGTAACTGCCTTTCCACGTTTTGAAACTCCGTTATTTTGGCAGTCATCAACGTGATTCTCACCCACAACGTTTCCCACGTTCTTGAACAGTTAGTGACCACGTGTTGGCGGTTATGCAAAGTAGTTTTGGGTCTCTGAGAGCTGTCTCACGTGCGAGACAGTAAATTCTGTCTCGCACGGCGAGACAGTAAAGACTGTCTCGCGGGGGCGAGGCAGTAAAAGTC